GGAAAAGCATATAGCAGGGGGTAGGAGGCTCTGCTGCAGCAGGGGTATCATTGCATTAGGGTGACCATCATCGTCATCGTTATACGCACAATTGACAGCAGGAAATTTCACACTTGGCCGCAAAAAAAAAACAAAAAAATTAAATAAAAATAAAACCCACGTGTCAGAGGGAACAGAGGAAAACGATGTTGCTCCTGTAATTGTTATTAAGCTATTACATGATTGATGCGACAGCTGAACAGAGAGACAGAAAGAGAGAGAGAGAGAGACGTGGCACGTGGCAGCAATCAGACAGTCATATAGTCTACTGTGACACATGCAGAGCAGTCCTGGCAAATAGTCCTCACAGACTTTATTACAGTTGATAGCCAGCACGCTTATCACGGATCTTGACCCGCGACACAGTCGGACTTCTACTCGTGGCCTAATCTAATCGAGCACGAATTCTTTGCATGCCACAGTAACTGGTTCTCTGAGTTGTCGTGGCTGGGCCGATTAGCCAAAAGCAACAAGTTCACCCCGAACGAGCAAAACGTGCGGCACGTGATGGCCAAAAGGCAAATCAATTTCAATTTCGAAAAGCAAACAGCATTTTGACGTTTGACGAGCTTAGCTAAAATCAAAAAAAAAAAAAAAAAAACAAGACAAAAAGAAACTATTTAAATCTGATTTGAAATAAGTGGCTCGAGTTGACAAGTTGCGTTTAGTATTTAATCTGGCAATCTGTTGAGAGTTCTCTTTGGCTTTGCCTGCCTGGACAATTGACGTCTGGCATTTCAGGCGCTGTCATATTTGATTTACATTTTGCAAACTAATTACGGCTGGCAATAAGTTGCTGCCACGATTAGATAGCCTGTGACGTACGTCGCTCAAGTACGCCCAACTCTAAGGAACGTGCCACACTAACTCACTCGAATGTAGATTTCCAATGCAGTGCATCTGTATTGGTGAGCTTTTAAAAGCTTTGCTTGGCTTGCTCTCAAGCCGCAAGCTTGCTGTGCTGCACGTGTGAAAGCTCTTTGCTTCGCTTCAAGTCGAAGTTGCCGTGCAGCACCTTTTGTGTGGTCCTGTGCATGGCACGTCTTGGCCCAAAACCAAATTCCTCAATTGCTGCAACGGCTTTAATAAAATGACTGAAATATGCTCGTGCAGCAAGTGAAATACTCCTCCATCTCTCATGGGCAGACAAATAAAAAGGAAAATACGGACTGGAAAAAAAGCTCTTTAATATGCATAGCGCATATCGTGTCGTCTATTGCGTCAGACACAATCTGCGAGTTGGGCTGATGGTAGCTGAAAAAGGCTCCGAAGATCCGAAACGTACGAAAAACTTTACTCGAGTTCATTTGGGCGTCTGCAGTGCGCTTCTGTCTGCATACCAAAAAGGTAATTATGAGCCGCATTGTAAGGGGAAACAAAAGTAAAGCACAGACGGTCATAGAAGGAGCCAATATCAAGTTACATACATGAGAAATGTGGCATAGTAGAGACAGTCAACAGAGAAGAAGAAGAAGAGGCAGAAGAAGAAGAATAGAGTATGCGTAGAGTACAACAGCAACAGGAACAACAACAACAATTGTGCCTCAGCTACGGGTCACATGTCGGCATTATGTGAGCTTTTGAATATTAGAAACTAGCCTACGCGGTTCCATTTCGGTCTCAATTCGCCAGGAATTGCGGCGCTAGGGTTGATAAGCTAAACAATTAGCTGAACATGAGCTGATGTTGGCTCGACGTCTTGATGGCCCGATAGAAAAATAAAAAACAACTGGGCTTACAATCTTCACTTGAAAGACTCGAGTAAATCTTCTTATACCATTTAAACATGAATCAAGATTCGAACTAAAATATATTTCAGCTTTCACTAATTATTTTTATTATAATTATTATCACTAATTTAAGGCCATAAACTTCATGTTAGACTAACAAAGTTTTGAATCAAACCCAAGTTCGTTTTGTATATCATATAACCCATTATCGAATTTCCATCGTCAGCAGCAGTTCATTGAAATGTGAACTGGCCAAATCAAAATTGTGTCGAATGCAAGCTAAACATAAACTAAACACATGCAAAAATACAAGAATACAATAAAAATGCAAAAAAAAAAAAAAAAAAAAAAAAAAA